CGTGACGGCCGCGTCGTACACCGGTTGGGGCGCCCACCTCGGGGACCTGCGGACACAAGGTATGTGGACTTGGGGTGATCTCTCCCTGCATATTAATGTCAGGGAGCTGTGAGCGGTTCGCCTTGCGTGTCTGGCCTTCCTCCATCGGCTCAGAGGGAATTCAGTCCTCATCCTCTCCAACACGTCGGCAGTTGCCTACATCAACAGGCAGGGTGGGGCCTGTTCTCCTCACCTGTGTTGGGAAGCCCTTCACCTGTGGGATCTCTGCATTGGAGCAGATATTCACCCGGTTGCCTCCTATCTCCTGGGCTCCCAGAACATCTTGGCCGATCACCTGAGCAGGTCGTTCTCCACTCACGAGTGGGCCCCCGGGGGGGACGTGGCCCTAGATATCTTCCGCAGGTGGGGGTTTCCCCACCTGGACCTGTACGCGACACAGCCGAACAGGAAGTGCCCAGGGCTCTGCTCCTTCACGGGCCTGGGCAGGGGTTCCCGAGGGTATGCGCTGCCAACCCCCTGGCCTGGGGGTCTGTTGTATGCGTTTCCCCTGTTCCCGCTGATTCACTGAGTGCTCCTCCAGGTACGGGAGTTCAGAGCATCCCTGATCCTTATTGCACCGGCATGGCCCAGACAGCACTGGTTCTCCATGCTCCTGAGCCTATCGTGACAAGGTGGTAGCGCTCCCGTTAGTCCCCGACCTACTCACGCAGGACTTTGGCAGACTTCACCACCCCGACTTGCGGTACCTGCACCTGATGGCATGGAGTCTCCGTGGTTAACAGCGGGGGAGCTTCTGTGCTCAGCATGAGTGCAGGGAGTGTTATTGGGGAGTAGGAAGCCGTCCACTAGGGCAACTTATTTGGCCAAATGGAAGCGGTTCCACTGTTGGGCCACCCAAAGAGGGGTGTCCCCTATGCAAGTCCTGGTCCATCTAATCCTGGACTATCTTTTGGACCTTAGGCTTCAGGGTTTATCCTCCTCCTTGCTTAAGGTGCACCTGTCGGCTATTTCCGCCTTTCACCCAGGGGTTGGGGGAAAACGGTCTTTGATGACCCAATGGGGCGCAGGTTCCTGAAGGGCCTGGACGGGCTTTACCCACACGTTTGGCAGCCCGTCCCACAGTGGGATCTCAATCTGGTCCTGGCCAAACTCATGGGGCCCCTGTTTGAGCCATTGGCAACGTGTTTGTTGCTCCACCTGTCCTACAAGGTGTCCCTGTTGGTGGCCATCACGCCAGCTAGACGGGTGTCAGAACTAAGGGCTCTCACCATGGACCCGCCGTATACGGTTATCTTTAAAGACAAGGTTC